TACCAGATTCAACATTTCTGGGTCAGAATATCTTTTTATCATTTCAAGTGACAGTGAAACGCTGTGAATAGCTACCTGCTTTATAAACTGAAAAATGGCAGCTGGCCAGAGCGACAATTAAGAATAGCATGAATGAGTTGAACAGAAAAGTAAGTATATTCTATACATTTGTAAAGGAAAACCACTAATTAAAAGAAATCAGCCACAGCCCACAGTTTACTGACTAAAAGACCTCTAAAATAATTTCTACCGTTTGCTATATTTGTCCTTTTTATGTAAAAACTCTATTAGAGTTTGCAATCGATTATTCAAAGCAGCTTTGGAAAAGGGAGGACATGCAATTTCAAGAAAGAGATGACTGCTGAAGGTAAGGATTTTTGTGATGCCAGAATGATTTCACATTGGCAGTTATGATAAGGCATGTTTAAACTAATCTTATAAAGATGTAAACAATGATGCAACCTTGTTCTTAAGATGGATTCAACAACCTAAATATAGGTTAATGTGGAACCTAAAGGAAATAGGGCAGTCTTGATGTATAAGCGTACGTGTGTGTAGGAGCAACGCATTTTGCCACGAGGAAAGCACAGATGCATTAAAAACAAGGACCACCATCACTTCTTTATCATCTCCCAGGGAGACAAGCGTCGTCTAGTAAGTAAAGCAGAGGGGAAAGGAGGAGCTGAAGGGGGAGGAGGAAAGATCGAAAAAAAACCAGAAAGATAAATCTAAAAAGACAACTTCCATGTCGCAACGGTGAAATTATATTTCAAGAGGAACCTAAGCTGTGAAACAACTACAATCACGTAAATTCAGCTTTTATGAAGAAATTGTAGAATGTAAAACTGATTTTTTAGCAGATTATATAACTTTTCAAGTACATATTCAGCACAGAGCATTCTAGAAATTCATCAACATACACGTTGACATTCTAACCTATTTGTGAACTGTGTTTGTTGTTATAATATAGCTCATATATGGGATATATGGCAGCCCACTGCTCCCCGAGGGGATGGGTTAAATGCAGAGGTGACTTTCTCCATCGTGAGATTAATAAAATTCTATTATTATTATTATTATTATTAGCTCATTTCCACTGATTGGTTCATGTCAGATCATTCTGGCCTGATCTGACTTTTTGAGTGTTTCATCGTCAAACTGGCCAACAGAACCATACTTTGTGATTTTTTGTCCTACCCCTGAGATGGGCTATATAGAACCCAAGCGTACATGATTCAGTTTTTAGCATTTCAAAATAAAACTGAATAAAACAGTTTCAAAAAGAAAATCCTAAACATGAGGGATCTACACAGTTAATCTGCTGCATCAACAATAAAATTAGCAGAATAACAACCAAATAACGGACTACTTAGGAGCTTTTAGCTGCTAATGATGATAGCATCTGTTTCAAGGTTTACTAACGGAGCGTTTCCTATTTTCATCCAGTATCACCTGACTTTGATAATGTCTACTTTAAAATCAATTAATTGATTTTCAATACCCTCCTATAGCACCTTTACTGGGTACATATTGGAATAGGCCATAAATTGTCCCAGATATGAATGCAATAAACAATAATATTGTCATTCATTTTGAATCCAAATTGTTCCCACACTGCAGTTGTCCCGTTTGGCTCTGAAACTAATTTTAACTAAGTTGTTCAGAATTTCATCTGCCGATTCGTTGGCTTGCTACTCTAAGGAGACTATATGAGGAGGGGTGAGTGGAGACCGAATCACCGGAATGAAACCTTTTCTCATCCATACTCTTCAGTGGAAAGAAAAAAGGAAAACAATCATGCAAATGTAAATTATTGAGCTAATTTAAATGTATGCGATTAATTTTTATCATGCAATTAGTAGGTTTAGTGTTTATTGTGATAGGACAATCAAGGATGGCTCTAAAGTATATCATGCTTGACAAACAAACATGCAAGGGCATACTAATACCTAAGGGCATGTTTAAGAGACCTATTAATGTAACATGCATATTTCCGCCACGAGAGAGCAAGAGTTATTTCAAATACAAAGTCACAGATCAAATCTGAACTGATAATTTGACGCTTGCTCTTCAAAACCGTTTGTGTTTTCAAAAATATTTATTTTATTTGTGAAATCAAGCAAACAAACAAAAGAAGATTCTTACTTTTCCCAGCAATACTTCTCATTCACTGGAAAACAATATATTGTTCACCTGTAATCAGGATATGTTGTTACACCCAGTTTTAGTTGCTCTTTAAGGCCATTTTCTATAGTCATTGACCAATATTTGAAAACAAAGATTGCAAAACAGCCAAAGGAGTGTTGTATGGATTCTTGCTAAAAAAAAACAGCAACGGCCCCTGCCCTTGCTTGTTTAGACTTGTCTATTTCTTCTATCTTTAGAAATTCTCCGGAAACACTTGTTCCTAGTTTCCTCACATCATTTCTGCAGAACACCCTCTTGTTTCTCTCAGTCAAATTTGTCCTATCTTCTCTCCTCCTCCCTCTCTTTCTCAGTCTCCACCCCCTCTCCACAGAGCTCTCGCTGGTGATGTTTGGTTTATGGGAGCGGGCGCAGTGGCAGTGCTGGCATCCATTTGAAGGCCTGGAACTTTGCCAGTTACTGAGAATCCAACAGCAGCAAGAGACTTAGAGTCATGCTGTTGAATTTATCTCCAACCAACCTGTCAGCTGATGCTCTTTGAGGATCTAAGGGAAGTGGGCACAACCTTTTTGGCATTTTCACTGTCAAGGTGCAGTAATAAATAGAAACTGGCACGGGAGAGTTCATTAATGGAAGCCGGAAAACAAAGGAAATTAAACCGTCTTTTAAAAAGAGTCACTTTCAACACTAGACTAGGCTTTCAAAGAACAGAAGGCTACCAGGTAGCAAGGGAACAATACAGGAAAGCACATAAAGGTAGAGACTGAGAAGATGAAGCGATTCAGAGAGCGACAGCGAACCCAAGAGAGAAGTCTACCCACATCTGAAGCTTACAGATATGTAGCAAAGAGTGTGGGGATAGATGAAAGTCATCACCTCATTTCTGTCAGACAAAGTGGCCGACTGTAAAGAACAGTGGATGACCTTGTGACTTAAGGTCCATTTTTCTTACTCTCTCTCACGACACTTGGACAAAAAAAATTCAAACACCTATTAGACTGAAGGTGAGCTCAATCAAATCTATCTTCCATATGTCCTCCAGCATAAACCACTATGTATCAAACCTCTTGATAACCAATTTTTAAAGGGTTAGGCATGTCAACAAAGTAAAATGAGAGAATCATGTAGTTTTTAAAATAAGTAATACAGTACATCAGCGAACTGCAAGTACAATACTGGGGCGACAGGCGTGGGCTTAATTCAAGCCCCACCTTTTAATGTCGTTGTGTCCTTGGGCAAGACACTTCACCCACATTGCCTACTGATGATGGTCAGAGGGCCTGGTGGCACCTCTGTCAGTGAACCCCAGGGCAGCTGTGGCTATAATGTAGCTTACCACACTCAGTGTGTGTGTGCGGGTGAATGACCGAATGTAATGTGGTGTAGTTGGTTAAGTCTCATGTCTTGAAAAAAAAAATGCCTTATAACTGCAGGCCATTTATCATTTACAATCATTTTCAACGTCCTTCAATAACAAATAATGTTAATTACACAAATACCCGTCTTGTTCATTATGCAGTAGGATTTAGAAGCAACTCGTATCTAGAATTTTTGTTTCTTCCTTCTTGAGAAATTCAAGTCAAAATCTAACAAATTCAAACTAAATTCCTGTTCATTTATGGGTTGGTTTCAGATATCAAGTTATACCAGACTCAGGTATAACTACTTATTTGTCTCTTAAGAAGTGGAGAGCAGGATACTGTAGCTGCCGGAGCAGATAAACCAGAGGTGTCAAACTCATTTTAATATGCCCCACTTTGGCATCAACACATTTTTAAAGGGCAAGCTGCAGCTGTATTAAAGAAACATTGGATTTCATCATTTCAGCGAGAGCACACTGCTCTGGTTTCATAACTTTGCTGCTATTTATTTTGTATTTTCAATCACTCTCTACACTAGACAGGAATATTATGTCTCTATTTTATGACTGGATATGGGTTTGGTTTTTTTTAGCTCTTGAAGTCCAAGTAAATTGGTTTTGCAGCTCTCGGCCTGTGGGCCCCGGGTTTGACACCCATGAGACGGACAGATACAAGCTTATGATACAAATAGAAAAAGTCTTTATATTAATGCTTAATGGTCTTATTTGGATACAATAAGCTCCCAATAATTACAATATTTTTCTCATATCAAAATCCTGATTATATAAAGTTTTAGAGATGAGATTTTATTTTTAATAATTATCAGTATGTTTTGCAGCAGCTGACCGAAAATTCTCATTTTCTATTTTCAGTAAAAGCAGTTAGATCAGGTTAAAGTTTTGCTTTAGATTGTGATTTGTATTATCTAAACACTGCAGTACCATGCTGCTATGTTATCATATTATGTGAATCAAACATACCAATACCTATTCTCATATCAACTTCTCCACACTGAACCTCGGCGACAAACAAAAAAAAAAAAAACAACCAGCACTAGGAATTTGGGGATAAACCAGCTTGCATTAATCAGCATGAATGATCATGACACATAACTCTGCAATTTGATTCCAAGAGTGCAGACGTGGTTTAACATCTAAAGCTGTTTTAGTTTAAAGCATTTTTCAGCCTGTTGTTATTTAGCTTGAAACATTTGCATGAGGTTATAACATTAGCTATGGCTCCAAATCCACTTTGTGTCAAAGATTTAGGAAGGACACGATTTACTAAGCAGTAAAACAAATTCCTTCAGCCATGTGACTTTTGATCCAGCATGAGTGGTTTGTGTTCTGCATTCCTAAGAGCACCACCAGGACCATTGATAATATGCTTCATTCATTAAAAATACTATGATAACAATGGGGTACAATCTCAAAACAAGTGCAAAAGTCCATAAAGTAAGAGTAAGTGGGGCTGTGCCATCTCTGGGCTACTTACGGCAGTTTTCCTCATCACTGCTGTCAGTACAGTCATTGTCATCATCACATCTCCAAAGGCTTGGGATGCACACTCCGTTCTTGCATTGGAATTGCCCTATTTCACACTCTGACTCTGTATGAGTTCCTGCAAGATCCAGAAAACAGCAAATTGTCAGAGAGATTTTAGTAAACTTAAAAAAAAACAGACACTGATACTAAAAATGCCCTGGATTGATACAGGGTTGTTGTTTTTTTTTTTTTTTATAAATTGTTATATATATATACATATATATATACACACATTTTTTTTCTCCTATAACTTTAGAAAGTTAAGTGGGGAAGTAGTGGCAAACTACCCAAATACATATTTTTTCTTAAGTATGGGGTGTGCAAAATCTGAATAAGTCTGGATGTAACCCATCTGAATGAAGTATAACATGAGGAATATCCCAGCATGACTTCCAGTTCTCCAGTCGCCTCATGCATGGCTCGCCTGTTGTTTCAATATGTTGACTTTAGTGCGACAATGAGCGCCTACCACCAGTGCCGTGTTGGCATTTAAGCACTCGGGTGTGTTTAGGCTGATGTGTTTTGTAGTAATTTAGCAACTGCAGCGTAAACATTAAACAAAGCATTTACAGCCAGCACTTTGCTGATCACATCCCCACAGGCAGCCGTGCGCGCTGGCTGCCAGCTTCCATGTGCTCACAGTTTCTTCCGCTTATTGTCACCTTGTGTCACCTGCCTTAACGCAGAGAAAAGTGGCAATTCAGATTTGAATCATTCGGTTGCGTGAAAAAAGCCGGGCTCTCTAATGGATCCATTAGCGCTCCTCTAATGAAGAGGCGCTGAAGCCAGCGGTCCCCCACCTCCCCAGGAGAAGCGCTCATACAAAAGCCTAGAATCGCTCATCATCTGTCTTTACCTTGAACGCGGCTGCTGAGCTCCAGGAGTAACAAATGTAGCAACACAAGCTTCCCGAACCCGGTCCACATCTTTAGATCCCAGACGATCTGCAGCTGCGATCATGTAAAGTGAGGTGATCTCCAGCTCCAGCGCGTCCGCAGCGGCTCAGTGTTTCTCTCTGTTGCTCTGCTGAGGAGCGTGTGAGCCCGATCAGCCCAGGCTCCCCGCTATAGTGAGTGACGCTTATGGGCGGGTTGGTTTGTGATGGTTGTCTGGAATTACAGTAGTAGGAAGAAAAATGACTATACGATGACTGTTTGTTAACCAGGAAGGGGGAAATGTGCTGAGTCACTTTAGACGTAGCAGCATGTAATAGGCTTATTCTAATTACCAATGTCAGAGAGCAAAATAAATAAAAATACAAAAACAGATTAACTTTTTTGGAAGGAAAATTGACAGATAACTTCAAATCGCAAATAAAAGTTAAAATTTCCAGTATTTCATTCTAACTGTAAAATTTGTAAAGAGAGATTTCCAAGTATTTTTTAATTGATTTATACAGGGGCGGAGCTAGGTGGGGGGACCAGGGGTGGCCATTGCCACCCTTAGCCAATCATTGGCCACCCCTATCATTTTTTTTCTCAAGTAGAATATTCAAAACATTTTAACTTTTATACACATTAACAATTACTTGACAACAAAAAAAGCTGTGTTTAATTATGCACATCAATATACCAACATAGGGCTGCTCAGTGGATCAGTGGGCAGCACTGCTGCCTTGCAGCAATAAGGCTCTGTGTTCGATTCTGGTATGGAGTTCTTTCCGCATGGAGTTTGCATGTTCTCCCTGAGCATGCGTGGGTTCTCTCCGGGTACTCCGGCTTCCTCCCACAGTGACTGTTAGGTGACTGTTGACAATGACTGTTAGGTTAGGTGTGAGTGTGTGTGTTAATAGTTGTTTGTCTCTGTGATGCCCTGCAATGGACTGGCAACCTGTCCATGGTGTACCCCACCTCTCACCCAATGACTGATGGAGATAGGCACCAGCACCCCTCGCGAACCCACTTGGGATACGTGTGTTACAAAATGGATGGAATCATCTAAGAGTCTTCAGTTAAATCATAGATACTGTAAATAAAAACCTATTAATTTATCAATTTATGTAGATATTAGTACTTGTAAATATCAATTTAATGCAGAATGATATTGATAAAAGTAGGTAAGTAATGACGATGGAAAAAATGTTCGCTCCAGAACTCAAACCTAAAAGAATTTCATCCAATATACCTTTTATCTAGAGGGATGTTTAAATATATGCATCTATTTGTTAGCAAAGACTGTAAGAAACTATAGTTTGTCTTTATTTAGAAATATGGACACTTGTTCCTGTTGGAACAGTGTAGATTGACCCTGAAGTTCTGGTGCCGATCCCTTTTTGGCCACCCCTCAGTGTACATTGTTATTGCCTGGCCACCCTTATAAAAATTTTCTGGCTACGCCTCTGTTATCTAAAGGCTTTTATCTCAAAGCAATGGCATATAAAATCATATTATGGTCTGCACAATGGGAAGATTTCTGGCTTGAGTGGAAGAAAAAATGGTGGTAGAATAATGTGCACGGTCCCTAACAATACTGTTGACTGAAAAGAGAGAAACACCAGACCAAGCAATGCCTTCTCTGTATAGCCTATGAAAATATTGTTAAATATAATTTGAAATATTGAGCTCCCAGAATGTGGAATAAAAATGGAGAAAGATACTTGAAGTCTATTTTAAACTTTTCACAGTCACAGATAATCAAGCAGCCATGCCTTTTACTGGTCTCCCTGTTCCTCTCACCTGACTGGGACTCACATGACTTAAGACACACAGATAAATTATCCTCAGCTGTTAAGAGGAATATTCAAAACAGTAGTCCCAATAGAACTAAACAGAAGGCCACCATCATAGAAACCAGGCCTTCCTTTACACGTCATTAGAGGAGCATGATAAGTAGTTGAGTGTCAGAGCCCTACAAAGTGCTCTCTAGCAAACAACTAGTATGAATATGATCAAACCCTTTCACACAGACAACATGAGGGTGAGCAGAGGGTCTGACATCCTCTAGGAGGCCATCTACTTATTGGCCATGCACCGTGGAGCTTGCCTAGCATTTGCCAGAGAACACTGCAATGAAGGCAAAAATAGGTGAGACAATGAAAGGCAGCATTTAAATTTCACAAAAGTGTGTTCAACAAGACGCAAACTGTATGTTTGTATTTTCTAACGTTTTATTTAAGGTTAATATAATGGATTATAAATATGGAGAATTTCTAACACATAGATGAATACATAAATTATGAATACAACTAGGGTATAAATAGAAAGAGAATTTCTTAACTCAGACCGAAGATATGTTATTTAGTGAGAGAAAAAAGGTAGACAGGTGGAGACATTTATATAAAAAAAGAATGTTTCATATCACTTTTTCACATTTTCAACATAAAATACTTACAATCACATAGCATGCATTAAATATGTTGGCATTACATTATGAAGTTATAAAACAAACAAAAAAGCATAAAAATAATTGCATAAAACCAATGTGCAGGTTTTGTCCATTTAAGCTTTTTTTTTTTTTTGTCTAGAGCATACAACGGTAGAGGTATAATGAAATGCTGATCTTTTTCAGGTAAGAAACCAATAAATTCAAATATTATTTGCATTGACAAACAACCTATAATATCAATGATTAAAGCAACAGCTTTGGGACTTTTTTATGGTAAATGTAAGTAATCTCTCTCATTAAGTTACCCATGCTTTGGTCATGTTTGGATTTAAAGTTTTAAAGTGTAGGTGGAGAAATGCAGCAGGATTTGTAGGAAAAGAGCCCATTTTTGAAGCACTTTAGCCAAAAAGATACACTTCTGCAACAGAGAGAAGTATGCAGGATCTCTTTAGAGGCTAAGCAGCAGGATCATTTTTTTTTTCAGTTTCATGCTGTCACTGAATTTTTACACACACACGCAAGTATTTCATACTTTTAACCCTTGAGGTCAGCTCTGAAATTGTGTTCATCTTTCCTTGCACACACAGCAGGAGCTAACTCTTGCATTCATCTTTGCCTTAGGACAGTGAGTGAGTCTGACTGAGACCTTCAGACCTTTAAGATGATTACTTTCCCTGTCTCTTGCTTTTTTTTCTCCCTCCCTCTCTTTAACTGTGTCAGCTCTAAACAAATTCCCTTCTCTTTTGCTTTGCTTTAATTTCAATATCTGTGCTTTATTTCCTGTTTTTTTTTTGTCATTCTGCCTACCCCTTTCCCCATCTGTCTGTTTTCTGTTTATGTTGCTGTAGGAAGCCAATAATGCTGTTGGTCAGTAAGCTCCTCTCTTTCTCCCAGAGCATCACTTATCTCTGTGTGACGTAGTTAATGTTAGACATGTGATTCATCTGCTTTCCTGCTGCAGCTTGTGACCCAAAAACCACAAGAGAGAACTGGTCATTGCCAGGTGCCTGGAGTAGGGACAGAGGGTAGGAGGGGATTTGAATACCACAGCATCATAAGCCATTATGGCGGAAGAGGAAGGGTAGGGTTTTATGTCAAATGGATAACAGGAAATAGAATTAGTGGCTCATTACTGAATATGGACATTGAACAAATTTGTTACATGCTGTTGTTCTTAATTTCTTCATAGAATAATAATTAATAAAACAAGCATGTAAAAAATTAGAGTGACAGTGTACAGAAGACTAAAGAGGTGCTTTAGCTTCCAGGATTGCAACGAAACTTAACTGGGATTTTTGAGTGTTTCAGCAATGCCAGGAATCTGGTCTACACAAGTTATGTCCTGATAACATCTCTGAAACGTACAATCCAGACAAAACATGTGGGGAAACACCTTACTGAATCAAAATGCCCTACTGTACCTCAGATTAGAAAAACTTTTGTTTCATGCATGGTCAGTTTTACAGATCCTTTGTTGATCCATTTTGAGGAAAAAAAATGGGTTAAAACAACACAGTAACAACAGGTGAACCAAGAATAGAAAACTGGACCAGAAACTGGAACCTCCTGGATGGATGGATGTGCTGGAATGGGTAAATCAAAAGGTAAAGGTGAAAAGGCAAAGATTACAGTTTGTACATTTCCAGATTGTCCACGCATACCCAGGAAAAAATTTAGCCATAATTGCTTTGAAATCTTGTTCTAAAAGTTTTGACCCTGAAGACTACATATAAATACAAATCATTCTGTTACTTTCTAAGCAAGACTTTGTAAGTTAAAATGTTATTTTACTGTTAGTATCTTTTCTGTGTATGTGTTTGTGTTATGCAGTTGCTGTCACTCAATCAAAAAGATCAGAGCAGCCTGGAAAATATTGCAACAACTTCTCAACTTTAATGTGCATTCCAATAGTTTAAGAAAATATTCATCCTGTGGATATTTTAGACCAGCAAAAGATGTGCACAATACCTTAAATTCTTAATGTTACATCATAAACATATGAATACAGCTACGCAGAATTCAAAGGCCAAAAAATTCTCATGCTTCAATAATCTAGTTAAATAATTTAGGATTACATTGCCTCAGCAGAGCACCAATAAGGGGATCAGCTCTCAGCCCATGAAATGCCCTCTGTTGTGTGGCACAAAGGCCATCTCAGTCGGTCATGTATTTGCAGTCTAGATAATCTCTGTGGTTGTCGCACCAGTCGCAGGCATGATTTCATGTCTGGGAAGAGATGTTAACAGCTAATAGGGCAGCTTAATCCACCTTCTGGGCTGAGCTTTCACGTTGACTTACACAATTTAAACAGAAACAATCACACTAATGCATAGGTTAGTGGTGAAGGACAAAGGTGAAAAGGGTACTACATATAGAACAGTATCTGTTCTAATTCTTTCTCCCAATCTTTGGTACCAGTGTCACATGAGCTCTTATCTGTTTAAATTGAATGCAGACTAATTTCCTTTTCCCTATTTTCTGCCTGCCAGATGCTGCTGTGTGTCACGTTCTGACTCTTTCGTTCCACTTCCATCAGTATTCATCCAACACAACCTGCAACATTGGGGTTCCAACCTACACACGACAGTAAAGAGTAAGAGACATTACTATTCAGATTGAACTCTTTGGTAGATGGAGATAGATGCCTGAAAAAAAGAGATGTAACCAAGAGATAGATCAGAGGA